GAAAGGTATATGTACAATACAGAGAGCACATTCTTTTTAGAAACCAAATGACAGAAAAAAAACATGTAGATGAAAGAAAAACAGGTTTTTCCAGATGAGTTAGGTCATTCTCTTTACTTAATGATTAACAAGGGCCTTTGTTAAATTTCTACTAAGAAATCCATGTGCAATGTTTGTTTAATGAAAAAGAAAATGATTTTTAACAAGTCCTTCTCCACTTCAGAAGATTAATCTTGTGGGGGAGACTTGGAGTCCTTACTTGGAATATGCATTCCTCTGAAACCCCAGTCAAGTGCTCACCAGCATGACTCCGTGTTCTCTTTTTTCTCCATAGTACAATTGGCAGTAATCTGGCAGAAGCACCACCTAATCCCTGCCAAGCAGAATTCCAGTATTTAATAAGAAAATACATATTTGATGCTTTTGCCAAAAACGCAAAGCCCCTTATATAAGCTAATGAAATTAAAAAGAAATCCCTAGTACATAGTAACAGAATAAAGCGAAACACAACTCACACACTTAAAGAAAAACACCTCTCAAAAGTTTACATAACAAAAGAACAGCTGTCATTTTGTATGGAAAATCTATTTTGGAACAGTTAAATCTAGTCAAACAAAAGTTTCATTTTAAATCCAGATGACTGCTTCAATACATATTAACTCAACGAACTATAGTCTAGTCGTAAATTTCAATTCTGGGAAACCAAAGGAGGAAAACAACAGAGTTGGATTTCTCTTGGATTCTTTTTTTTTTTTTTTCATATTTGAGAAGCCCAGTGACAGGGCAGAGACAGTCTGAGCTTCTGTCAGCTAGCTTACTCTCCAATTGCCCACATAGGTCAGTGCTGGGCAGATGGTAAATCCAAAAGCAGAAACCCAGTACAGGCCTCCAACATGGGAGACAGGGTCTCAGCTCGTTGAGCCATAAATACTGCTTTCCAGGATTCAGGAGGCAGCTGCAGTCAGGAGCTGGAGCTGAGAATTGAACCCAGGTAAGCTAATGTGGGACACTGGCAATGTTTGGAATACTTATTTAAAAGGCAGAGTTGCCTGGGTCTTTGGGCCCACCTGTGTGGTGAGTGCCGGATCCATGAGCCCTAGGGACAGAGGATCAGTGGGGCCCAGGTCACCTGGCCTGGGTCTTTGGGCCTGTCTGTGTGGTTGTGGTGTGTGTCGGGTCTGTGAGCCCTGGGAGCAGGGGCGTCCTGTGTGGCCTGGGTCAGGCGGCCTGAAGTGCCAATGGTGCCATACAAAGCTCACTGACCACCTGGTGGCACGCTTGTGGGAACTTCGTGTGTGGGCTTGCAGGGGTCTGGAGATGGCACAGGTTGGGAATTTGCAGGGACCTTGGGGGGTCTCAAGTCCAGGATTGTTGGTCTGACTGTAGAGTACATGTGTCAGAACTGGACCTCCTAAGTGGAAAAGATGAACAGTGGATGGCAGGCTTTGATGCGCATGGAGGATATGGCAGCTCACCGGGGCCTGCAGAAGACATCTGCTACCACAGCAGAAGAAAGAGAGCAGAACAAATTGATCAACTACCCCAGCCAAATGATGACAGCAAAAATCTGTGTGAATGGGCCCGGCGCGGTGGCGCAAGTGGTTAAAGGTCCTCACCTTGCATGCCCGGGATCCCATATGGGCGCCGGTTCTAATCCCGGCAGCCCCGCTTCCCATCCAGCTCCCTGCCTGTGGCCTGGGAAAGCAGTCGACCCAAGGCTTTGGGAACCTGCACCCACGTGGGAGACCCGGAAGAGGCTCCTGGCTTCGGATCGGCATAGTATCGGCCCGTTGCGCTCACTTGGGGAGTGAATCATCGGACGGAAGATCTTCCTCTCTGTCTCTCCTCTCTGTATATCCGCCTTTCCAATGAAAAAATAATAAAAATAAATCTTAAAAAAAAAAAATCTGTGTGAATGGAGACTCTAAGGTGAACCATGTCAGACAATAGACATTGGAAGGGTTTCCTTATCCTTGGAGTGGTGAACTATATGCAAAATGAACTGTATGCAAGCCATTTTTTAAGATGTTAAAGTTTTATCTATTTTTATTGGAAAGGCATCCACTGGTTCCCTCCCAAAATGACCACAATGATCATTGCTGAGCTGATCCAAAGCCAGGATCCAGGAGCTTCTTTCAAATCTCCCACATGGATGTGGGGGCCCCAAGACTTTGGGCCATCTATCTTTCCCAGACCACTATGTAGGGAGTTAAAAGAGAAGTGGAGCAACTGGGATACATATCAGTGCCCATATGTGATCCCAGATCTTGCAAGCAGAGGATTAATCAATTGAGCCATCTCTCCAGGCCCAAAATGTTAGTTACACTTTATTTCTTCATGTTTTGGTCTCATGAGAAAAATACAAGATGGGTCCACAATGAATTACAGGGAAAAATAAGGTGAACAACAAGTTATTGGGTAAAATAAGAAACAAGAACTCGTTTGTCGAGAACTCTATCAATCTTATTTATAGGTTTCAATACTTTAGTTCTGGATTCAGACAATGTATCACATTCTAGTGTTTTTCAAATTTTAGCCTGCGTCTATACTACTTGGAGGGCTTCTTGAAACAGAAAGCAATAAAGCAAGGGTCTGGAGCAATGGCTCAATTGGCTAATCCTCAGCTTGCAAGTGTCAGCATCCCATGTGAGTGCTGGTTCATGTCCTGGCAGCTCCACTTTCCATGCAGCTCCTTGCTTATGGCCTGGGAAAGCAGCAGAGGATGGCTCTTGGGAGTCCTTGGAACCCGGTCCCCACATGGGAGACCCAGAAGAAGCTCCTAGCTCCTGACTTCGGATTGGCTCAGCTCTGGCCGTAGTGGCTACTTGGGGAGTGAACCAGTGGACGGAAGATCTTTATCTCTCCTCTCTGTAGATTTGCCTTTCTAATAAACATACATAAATGTTTTTAAAAATCAAAACAAACAACAACAACAAAAAAACATGGGGAGTCCAATAATTTGCCTTCCAATTAAGTTCCAAAGCAACATATCCGTGGACACTTTGGGTTCACTAGAGATCCACTTACCACACGGTTAGGTATGGCCTTTCACTAAGCACCACGCTCATTCTACAATTTACAGTCAAATCACTAGTAAAATAGTGAGGATGTGGTTTAAAGGTAATGTTGAATGAAAATGCCAGTTTTCAGGGGATTTTACTACTTATGTTCAGATTAAGGGAAAACGGATTTTAGTTTTTGTTTAAACGTCCATTTAAATTCAGCAGTAAGCCCGGTGAGTTAACAACTCACACACTTACTCTACTTATGTAGAGTATTCTGTTAGCGCGTCATAATGAGGTAATCACAGGAGAAATGACATGATGTCTAGGATTTGCTCAAGGCCATGTGCGGCCTGTGCTCAGTATTTGGTGACGAGTCCTGAGGAAACGGGCCTGGCTCAAAGCTGATTACAATCCCAGCGGACTCCTGCTTATCACGGCTTCTGTTTACTTTTCTAACTACTTGAGTTTGACTTTGAAAATCTCCGTTTGGGAATCTCACTTCAAAATAAATGGAATGTGTGTTGAGATATAGGGGGAAAAAAAATGAAGGTTGAAGACATGGTTCTGAATGGTTTATCTCAGACAACTCACCAAACATCACATTACTAGTCCCTTCCCGGAGAGAACCAGGGTCTACCTCTTGATGGAGGAACCTTCACTGTGAACAGGAAGGGGCGACAGAGTAGCCACTGGAAATATCTACTTTGAAGTTTCTCATTTCTGTAATGCTCTGAGTTAATTTTTTGGATCCAAGCATCCTTCAAAGAGGGGCGGGATTTTTTAGCTTCATTTCTACTCACTTGTTGAAGCTTTCTTAGAAGTGCCTATATTATTCATTGAGACAACCAGAAAAATATTTATGAGATGGATGTTAATATTGCTCACATCGCTATAATCTAAAATATTTTAAGGTTTAAAGTTCTGCTGTGTCAGGGGAAGCCAGGAGAGAAGTCCATCTGGGTCTCTCACATAGGCAGCAGATGCATTCTCAGGCGGCTGGGTAGGAAGGCAGGGGTGGGACTGGATCCCGCTCACACTGTGCACGCACCAAGCAGCAGCGGAGGTGCTGAGCCACACTGCCCATCCCACATACATGTTTTAAATGGACATTTAAAATAGATTTATATATTTATTTATTTTGAAAGGCAGATTTACAGAGAGGACAGATTTTTCACCTGCTGGTTCACTCCCCAGATGGCCAGCAATAGCTGGAGCTGAGCTGATGTGAAGCCAGGAGCCATGACCTCTGGGTCTCTTGCGCCAGTGCAGGGTCCCAAGGGTTTGCGCCGTCCTCTAATGCTTTCCCAGGCCACAAGCAGGAAGCTGGACGGGAAGTGGAACATCATCTGGGACATGAACCAGTACCTATATGGGATGGTGATGCCAGCAGGTGGAGGATTACCTTGTTGAGTCATGGCATCTGCTCCCTTAAATTGACTTTTTCAAAAGGATTTATTTTTAAAAGTTGGGGGAGGCCTTTGGTTCACTTTATACATGGCTAGGTCAGGTCAAAGCTAGGAGCTTCATCAAGGTCTCCTACCTGGGACTCAAACATCCGCTGCTGCTTTTCCTGGGACATCAGCTAGATCAGAAATGGAGCACCTGGTACTTGAATGGGCACCCACATCAGATGCGGGCATCATAAGTAATGGCATCACTTGCTATGCCACAATGATAGCTCCTAAACTTGACTTTCTATGCACTTAATAGATTACATATGTCTTTTAAAAACATGACATGGACTGATGTATACCGTATGCTTAGTAAAACTGGTAAGATACACAATAAGCTTTCAAAAAGTTCATGGAAATGTATATTATGGACAAAGCACGCATGCATTTCAAAATCTTCTTGTATCAAGATAAATTCATCTTTAATTCCATTTTCCATGAACTTTTTGAGGTTCCCTCATATTCTGAACGTTAAATTTTAGTATTTTTAACAGGCTGTTTTTTTTTTTTCCGAGAACGTGAAATAAATACAAAGTAAAATGTGTCATTTTAAAGAATAGTACTTTATTGAATAAGTTTTATTCACAGAAAAATAAGCTTTAATCTACAATGAATGCCAGGTTATACAGCAGAAAGCAATTTTCTTAGTTTTCCATACTGATGGAAAGAGTTTTACTAAATGAGAAACAGTCATAAAATTATATTCACAAATATAGTACTTTGTCTCAAAACATTACACAATTATTCACAATACTAACATGAGAATCTATCACTGTCAGATTAAGTTTAACAGTAATGAAAATGCAAGCTAACAAATTAAAGCTTTTATTACATTAAAGCAAAAATGCAAATTTGTTACTGAGTATACACAGAGCAGTAAAATATACTTATATAGTACTTTAAATGTTACATTAATGATACATAATATGTATTAAATGCTAAAAACCTGTATGCATTCTGCAAGCCTTAGACTTCAAAACAGAATCTTACCACCCAAATACTAATGTAGTATTGACCACTTTGAAGATATAGGTATTTAAGATTGTCCTACTGTATCGATTATAAAGTGTCATTTAACATGCAGGGAAAGTTAGGGCATAGTGGAAAGAAGAGTTAAAAAAATAAACATTTGAGACCTCCCCGGAGAGAGCTTGGTGAAGTTTTTCACTTTCACACTCTGTCCCAGGCAGGGCTCCGTCACTAATGAGCTATATATAGCTTGGAGCAAATCACCTCACCTTTGAGCCTCAGCTGACTCACCTATAAAATGAAGGATGATTAAGATATTCTCTCAGATCGTTTTTATCTCTGACATGCTATCATTTTATTATGCTGAGAAAGAATTTCACCTTGTGTTAAGTGTACAGCAGTCAGACTGAAACTGAAGATTAAGATAGGAATAAGTCAACTGTTTCTCTCATGAAGAAAGCTCAAACTAAATTCCATAAGATTAACTTTTCAAATACTTTCAACAGAATTTAAGCATTTGAAACGATCTCACCTACTTATTGATTGTAATTTATACCTTCACTATGGAAAACACCAAAAATTATGTGTAAGAATCATCAAAATAGTTAGCCACATTTGCAGGTCAAGGCTAAACATGGAGAGCTAAAACAGGGTTATGATGGGGGTTAGTATTTATAGGATATATGATTTCTTTAAACTCTCATAACCTAGTAACATATTCTTCTTATTTCACAAATCAAGAAATAGCTATCTTTTAAAAGCAGATTCAGCTTACAAGAACTATGTCTTAAAAACTCCTTGCCATTTTATTTCTCTAATGGCAATGATACATAGCCCCATGCCATTTCCCTCTTCCCCTTCAACACTTGAGTAAACAGGAAATAAAACAATGTGCCTAATGAATACATATGCACCTAATGTTAGGGTGGTAATCTCAAAACATTTCAAAACACAAATTTTTACCCACTAAAATAACAATAGAAAAAAAAATCACAAAACTTACACAATGTAACAAAAACATTAACAACAAACAGGACCAAATCACATTATATACATTCAATATACCTGTGCTACCCCCTCAATCCCTAACCAAGGTGGGGGGTAGAAAATTAAACCTAGCAGAAAAGGGAAATACAAAGGCATTAACTGAAGCGCTGGAATGTATTTTATAAATGCTACACCCATTTCTCAAAAACTAAGGCTAGATTTTTTTAATCAGCCAACTAAATTATCATAAATAGGTAACTGTTTATTACAAAATAACTTGAATTTGCACAACACCAGAATATAGTAAAATAGGTGGTATCTTATTAACCCTTGAATGAACTTTATATAGGAAAGTAATATCTACATGTAAATACCGAGAGCCATGCAGCGGGCTGGGGGATGCAGCAGACGGCAGGTATAGCTTTGGATGCAGTTACAGGTTTGACTTTGCAAGTGATCAAATTTTACACAATTAACTGGAAAGAATACAGTGCTTTTTGTAGTGCGAACACAGATACACACTGTTAGACTTCCCAAAACCTGATTAAAAGTTGGAGTGTTGAGTGATTTTAAGAACTTGAAGCAACAGCATTTCTAAACAATTCTTAAAATAAACTTGTTAGCCACATCAGCTCAGCTTCATGCATTAAATTTCACAACTCACAGAGGAAAAAAAAAAATAAAAAGGTTGCTTAACTCTAAAACACACAAGTTTTAAAAGTAGAATTTTGATGAACTGAGGCCTCAAGAACAAGAAAAGCTTTATGTTAAAACAATTCAGCCCTTGAGTCCTTGGCTAACAGCTAGCTTGAACTATCTACCAACTGACAAACGAAGTGCTCTGGAAAACATACTTTTAAAATGTTAACACTTTTCTCCCCTTGTAAAATGCTTTAAACTGAAACTAAAAATTAAGGCTTAGACTACACAGCTCAAATTCAACCTACTGGCTGTATAAACAAACCTACGTAGAAAATAGTGCAAAGCTGAAGAACTACTGATTCACATAATAAAACAAGAATAAGGCAGCCATTACTTTATTTTTAAACTCATTTATAAATTTGCAGGACTTTAGACAGAGGTTAGGAAAACAACAATATGTTTCTCTTCGAAAATAAAATGAAAAGGTGATTTTTAATAGTTGCAAGCTTTTCTCTGTAGGAAACGCCTCAAGCACCGGTGTAATAGTTCTGCCGAGAGTCTTGTACCGTAAACTTAGATGTTCTATGCAGCATTTCAAAGCTTCTACTGCCATGTCATGTTGGGTTGTACTCAAGCGTTCTTTTTCATACTTAAACAACTATTCAGTAATTTTATACTTTCCAAGAGATTTTGAGGATCTTCAGAGGAGATTAATTTCAGAAGTATTCACTACTAGTCAAAACAACAAAAATTACAGAAGAAAGACTTAACCTTTTGTCCTATGTACATCTTAATTATCCTAACAGTAAAAACCCACGTGAAACTTTAAGATACAAGATGATATGAGAATCTCAATATAGACAGCTGTCACTACAACTACAAGCGGTGTACATACATGCTTCTACTTTTACCTACATAAGCTGACAGATGTTTAAAATACTGGGTTAACAAAGATCTTTTAGTAAAGTGACTTAGGCAGGCTTAAACTAGCAAGGATTAAGGATGAATCCTTACTAATTAATTGGAAGATCTGAGACATATTTTATATTTCATTTTACAAAATCAGAAATATTTATTTTGAAACAAGATAAGAAAAGACATGGTCTACCTGTCAGAAAACTACCACTCAGTAATATTTTTCATCCATAAAGCAGGGAAAACATAAAAACATTTAAATTTCACATTGGCACCTAAAAGGTTAATGGCCCTGCCTTCCTGGATTAGAAAAACCAAAGCTGAGCGCTATGTAGTTCTGCAGGTGTTTGAACATGCCTAAGCCTTTAATCAGTAAAATATTTTTCTACAAATTCTGATTACAAAAGCAATACATACTTACAAAAATTCAAACAGAATAAAAGTTAAAAAAAAATACACCAGAAAATGGAAGGCCCCGTAAACCCCTCTCGGGACCCATCCTCCCACCCCCCTGAAGAGAAACCACACTTAACAGATTGGTGCTCATCTTCTTCGATCTTTTGTTCCACGCACATACAAAACACACGCACACTCAACTAGGGTCAAAATTTACAGTGTCTGGCTACCTGTACTTTTACTATACATATCTGTGACACCTTCCCTGTCAGCACATGTTGGCTAGATGGCACTATATCATTGGATACCTTTATTATTATTATTATTAATTACATTACATTATGTGACACAGTTTTATAGGCTCTGGGATACCCTTTTAAAATGGCAAAATCACTCTTGGAATCATTCACACAAGTGCATGTTTGCAATTTTAAAAGACAAGGGATAGAATCCTAAATCACTAAGGCAAGCATCTTAAAATAGTCTCTATCTCTCCACCTGTGTGGAACAGTTCATTCCTTTTCACACAAAACAAATTATGTGATTGAGAGATTAATTCCTATTCTCCAAGTCTCTACAGAATGCTCCACTTACTAAGTCTATCTGGAAAGAATGAGAAACTCAGACGATTCATTCACTTACACTTAGAAGCTAAGGGCACTATCAATACACACTGTGATCAGCTACAATGTGATTCTGTTTAAGGTTTCAATCAAGTAACAGTAAAATAAAGGGGAAAAAATCATATAGTTAATCACTCAAAATACCCAGAAACTTAAATTTTAGATTGCCAACTAAACCACTGCTTTCCCAATTGGCATCAAATGCTAATAGAATTCAATGCTGATACCATAAGGTCCACTTATATCACATATTCAATTGGGGTAATAAGAGGAACGCAAAATTCCTACCACCAAGTTAGATTAAGACATGAAAATTTTTTGCTTGAAAGTAATGACTGTGTAGCACATGGGACATTTGTCAACTGCTTCAGCACATTGTTTACAAGTGACTAGATGTCCACAAGGAATAAACACTACAGCAATATTTTTATCCATACAGATTTTGCAAAGCTTCTCCTCTTGTAGGCGCCTTAGCTGTTCTTCCGTACTAACTTCTGCACAAAGAGAAAAGAAACATGCTGGTTTTAGTCTTTCTTAGTAGTAGTTTAAATTCGTTGAAATATTGCTTGAATCCCTACTATGTGCCACACATTGGACAGGGGCTAGAAGACAGGGGATGACTCAGGCATGGTGCCTGCTCTCATGCTAGTGGGAAAGGATGTAAAGTGAGGCTACGCAGGCAAGCACAAAGTACAAAGTGATAAGTGCTATAATAAAGTTAAGTACAAAGTCCTCTAGGACAAGATGAGAAAGCAAGCTCTGTTCGTGCTAGCTGAGGAAGGCATCAGGGATTGGAGGTGGCTGGGTGGGGATGGAAAGGAATTACAAGAAAGTCATTTAGGCATGGACAGCAATTTGCCATGCCCAAAAGTAAGGGTAAGGGTAAGGTGAAGTCAGCAGACACAGAAAGGCAAGTGCCACAGCATCTCACCCACATGTATAACCTACCAGCATGGATGTCATAGAAGTTGCGAGAAGAATGGAAGTTATTAGAGGGGAAAGTGAAGTGGGGAGTGAAGTATGGGCAATAGCTGATGAACGAGCACTATATCACAAACAGGAAAAAAACTCTAGCAGGGTACACATTATAGAGAAATAAATGATAGGGTGACTGTAGATAGATAACAATAATGATGACTGTTTTGTCTATATAAATGTTTTCATATTATTGTATCATTCCTATAAATATTTTCGTCATAAACAGAGCAAATATTTGAAAAGATATATAGATTTACTCTGATTTGAAGAGTATACAATTATACATATATTGAGAAACCACGTGGTACCTCATAAATATGTACCAGTTTTGTATATTAGTACTGGCACTATTCCAAATGCATTACCTACTTTCACCATCTCTGCAATCACTGCATACCAGCAGTTTCCAAATTTGGCTTCAGATAAAAATCACGGAGGGTACTTCCTTTAAAAAGTTTCTGAATGATTTACTTTTAACATGTATGTTTTTATAAATCTTTAACACATATTTATTGTATTTGAAAGGCAGAGATGCAGACAGACGGAGCTCCCCTCAGCTGACTCACCGCCCAAAGCCTCCAACAGTCGGGGTGGGTCAGGCTGAAGCCAGGAGCCAGGAATTCAATCTGGGTCTCCCACACGGGTGGCAGAGGCCCAGGCTCTTGAGCTGTCACATCCCGCCTCCCACAGCGTGCTTCAGCAGGAAGCAGAACAGGGAGTATAGGCAGTACTCAACTCCAGGTGTGTCACACAGCCTTCTACTGCTACGCCAAAGGCCTGCCCTACTTAGGGTACTCCTTAATGACAGATTCCTGGGTCCCAGTCACCGAATAAAAAATTTTCTGCAGTTGCGTGCCCTGGCATTTGGGAACACTGTCATCAGATACAGGGCAGCATACTACAGGCCAGTGTATGTCCTCCCATGGAAATGCACACTACAGTTTCCCATGTAACTGCGGAGCTCCTTCCCCGTGGCATCCCTTCAACAGCCAGGAAAACACTGTTCTGAAAGCATGTTTTGCCAAATGCTGATGTTATTCAACAAATCCTGAACACTTAACTAGGTTCTAGTCACTACGGATACAATTAACAAATATATAGACCTCAGGCTCCCAGCAGTACACAGACAAGTAAGGAACACAAGTAAACAGGAAATTATACAGTATGACGACAAAGATAATTACAATGTGCTATGAAGGGTACAGGAAGGGTGTGTTTGCATGTGAACATGTGCACGCACGCACAAAGGAAGGCGTCCTGGAGGAAATTATACCCAACTGGGTCCTAATGGATCTGTAGAAGTTGACTAGGAGATGGAGGTTTTTGGGGGTGCACACAGGTAGGGGGAGCAGTGTGTTGTGGGAAGAGGAAACAGTCTAAGCAAGCTCCAAAGAGGGCAACCAAAACATGGTCCGTAAGTACACACCTAAGCCCAGGCCCAGAACTACAGGCGATGGGGATATATGGCTTGCTGGAGCCTGATCCTGAAGGGGTTGGCAAGCCCTGCAAAGGAATATGGACTCAGTCCTCAGGGTCCTGGAGAGATACTATCACATTCATGCTTCAGAAAGCTTTCTCTGGTGGGGTGTCAGAGGAAAGATCACTGCATCCCTTCCTTCTTAAAAAGCATCCTCCTGGGCATAATAAAACCTATAAGCTCAAGCATGGCATGTATTAGAGATAAGAAGATAAAGCACTTGCCCCACAGTACTTTAGTCCAATGGGCAGGACAGAGAGGAAAACAGTTCCAAAGCAATGTCAAAACTGCTTTACTGGTATCAGGAATAAAGGAAGAGGGAGATCTGATTTACAATATGTTAAAGCATCAACATCAAAAAAGTATAATGAAGTATGTGGTCATACTAAAAATTCTTGAGGAGGAAAACAAAACTTACACAATACTTCTAGATGTGATACTACACTGATTAAAAAAAAAAACAAAAACAAAAACAAAAAAACAAACCACCACCACCACTAGACTTAGTGTAGTCAAATTGTCCAATTTAAAAGATAGAAAGTAGAATGGTGACTGCCAAGGCTTGGGAGAAGGCAAAATGAGATGTTGTCTAATGGATACAGAACTTCAGGTTTATGATATTTACAGTTCTGGAAACAGTTGTACAGCAAGAATTCCCCCCAGGAGCTGACATGGAGGTGTGGCAGGTAAAGCTAGCGCCTGAGACATCAACATCCCATATGGGCATCAGTTTGTTCTAGCTGGCCCATTTCCAACCCAGCTCCCTGCTAAGGGTTTCAGAAGGCAGCAGAAGATAACTGAAGTGCTTGGGTCAGTGTCACCCTTGTGGGAGACCCAGATGAAGCTTCTGACTTAGCCTTGGCCTAACTGTGGCCATTGTGGTCATTTGCAGAGTAAACCAGCAAATGAAGTGCTCTCTCTCATTCTGTCTCTGTAACCCTGCATTTCAAGTAAATAAATAAATCTTTCAAAAAATCCCCTCTAGAATACTGCAGCAGAAGCCAAGAAATCTGAATTATATTCCCAACTATCTGAGTAACCTGGGCAATAACTCCTCTACAATTCATGTTTCTCACTGACACAATGAAAGTTATATATTTTTACAGCAGTATAACATTCTTAAACACTGGTGTGACAAAGGCATATAAAAAAGTCTTACAAAACTATTTGCAGCAATACAAATCATAGCAGAAATGCTACTTAAAAAAAAATATATATATATATATATATATATATATATATATATATATTTTAAAGGCGGGATGACAGAGAAAGGAAGAGAGATCTCTTCCATCTGCTGGTTCACTGTCCAAATCAACAGTTGCAACTGAACCAGGCCAAAGCCAGGAGCCAAGAACTGCACTGGGGTCTGCCCCACATAGCTGGCAGGGGTAAAGGAATTTGATCCATCACCTGCTACCTGTCATTGCATTAACAGAAAAGAAAGCTAGACATTAACAGAAAAGAAACCTTTCTTTTCTGGAGATGGGATTCAATCCCAGACAAATCAATATGGGACATGAACATTCATCCCAAGCAGTGGCTTAATCTAAGCCACCTCACAACTGCTCCACATTACACGATTTTTAAAAAGCAAGAATGGGTATTTGTCCTGGTAGCTAAGACTCTGGTTAAGACACTCATGTCCCAAACCAGGTGCCTAGATTTGAAGATTGCCTCTGGCTCCTGACTCCAGTGTCCTGCTCACGTAGACCCTGGGAGGCAGCAGAGCTGGCTCATGTACTTGGCTTCCTGCTAGCTGCACAGGGACCTGGACTGTGCCACTGGCTCTCAGCTTTTATGGGAGGGGGCATCTGCAGGTATCTGCAATATGAGCTGGTGGATGGTGATTTACTCTGTCACTCTGTTTGTTGCATAAATAAAAATGAAGACTGGTGTGGTACTACTTTTACAAGACAGTTTACCGTGGGCATTTTCTGCCACACAGTCTGAGAAAAACAACAGTACCGATACAGTATTTTTCAGTAAGTAGCAATACAATACCCTTTTTTGAGTTAATTTTACCTGCTTCATTTCAATTCAGCCCATCCTTGTTTTATATATAATTTAAGGATTTTAAATGACAATCTTTCTTCAAGAGCTTTGGGAAAGAGAAATATGCTGCAGCCTCCTCATGAGGACACTATCAATCATGTGCCTCTCCATTTGGCTTGGGCCACCAACGAACTTCAACTCCTATGCCTGAGAGCTACCATCTGCTTGAGGCCTCCTTTCTACGCAATCCCAGTTTGTACTCTCAATGATAAGAGGTGCACAGACTCCCACTGGACAGAGAAGACACCCCCCTTAATCTACTCTTGTCCCTTCTCTTTTGGTCCCAGAAAGAAGACCAAATAAATGGCTTATTTTATGACTATGAAGTTAAACATTTGTTAAGTTTTAATAAACACATCTGTGAGAAAAAAGCAGTAGCCTTCTTATGGAATCTTTACATCAAATAATAATTTAAAATAGCAATAATATTTATACTATTTAATGACCTATACGTGAATAATGTTTCAAATTTTTGGAAATAAATTGAAGTTAAAAGGTACTTAGTGTGTCAAAAACATGTAAATTTTCATATTTATTAGCCCTAGGAGAAGTCTCGTATTTTGGGTGGAGCATCCAAAAATGTATGCAGTTTGAAAGTTTTTCTTTGATTTTTAATGTTACTGGCAAGCATATTTTATAAATACAGATACTTATGTTTCAGATAAACAAAGATATATGTAAATATCCTTAATAGGAGGAATTTGCATGAAGGGGTCTTTAGAAATTTCACAGAAAACGCAAATATGTATATATACACATATATATTTTAAAGATTCATTTATTTGAAAGTCAGAGTTATAGAGAGAGAGAGATTTTCCATGTGCCAGTTTATTCCCAAATGGCAGCAATGACCAGGCCTTAGCCAGGTGGAAGTTGGGGCCAGAAGCCGGAAACGTATTATAAAAACCAGGCATGGATGTTTCATACGAAAATCAACTTTTAATTTCTCCACGAATTTTTAAAGCCAGCTTTTACTTTTAAACTTATTTTTATTGCAAAATAATTCTGTTTCTCTTAGTATATTTTGCATGTATGATTTACGCTATTAGGGCACCATTCACTCAAATCCTATTTAGTAATTTCACCCACTTATGTCACATAAAAAAACTTACAGAACACTCAAAAACCAAATTCTCAACCACAAAGCTACAGATTCAACATTTAATAATGAAAATCAGCCTTTGTTGTTCTTTGTCTAAAACAGAGCATAAACTCACACTGATTAGCCCAAGTCAACTTAAATACTCTTCAGTGGAGAAAATGAAAACCAACTGCATCTCAAATAATACAGAATTAACGCTAATTTTGTTCTGTATATTATAGATAATGTTTCTATTCTTCAAATTTGTATGCTGAAGCCCTAATCCTCAATGTTACAGTTATCTTGAGATTAAACCTTTGGGTGGTAATTAGGTTTAGATGAAGCCATGACAAGTAAGGCCGCCATGAGGTAATTAGTATCTCTAGAAAGTAGAGGAAGAGACCAGAATGCTTAGGTCTCTTTCTTCTGCACACGTGATGACACTAGGTAAGGACAAGGGGAGAAGGCAGCCATCCATTAGCCAGGAAAAGTATCCTTGCTCATGTACTTCCAACCTCCAGAAGTGTGAGAAATATAATCTATGGTATTTTACTGTATCAGCCAGAGCACACTAACATAGAGTGTGGTAAGGCTATGTTTAAAAACCAAGCCCCAATCTTCATCTAGCAGAGCATTAAGCCTCTTACTATAATGTAAATTAAAAAGGTTATCTCAAAAAACTAAAACAGAAAGAGGAGAGGGAGAAAAGTATTATATTCTCAGAACTCTATGACTCTGTTTCCTTTGTGTTAGTATCACAGTAACGTGAGAACAGTGTTGCAGTAATCATGATGTAACCGCTGTGACCTAGAAAATCTAATGCAGTAATTAATTCCTTAAAAAGGGGGGGGGGGCTTGAGTCTGGCATTTGGCACAGTGGTGAGGACACTGCCGGGGATGCCTTCAGCCTATATTGGAGTGCCTGGATTTGAGTCCTGGCTCCATTCCTAATTCCAGCTTCCAGGTAACTGTGCAACAAGGGAAGCAGCTGATACAGGCTCAAGTGATTTGGTTCTAGCCACAAACATGGGAGACCAGGTTTATGTTCCTAAATCCTTTCTTTGGTCTGGCCCAGCCCCAGCTATTATGAGCATTTGAGAAGTAAACCACCAAATGAGTGTTCTGTGTATCTCTTTGCCTGTTGAATAAATACAGTAAAAATTTAAAACATTTTTTATGTCAGGGCCATCACTGTGGCACAGTGGGCTGTGCCACTGGCTGTGATGCCGACATCCCTTATGAGCGCCAATTCACATCTCAGTTGCTCCATTTCCTGTCTATGTCCCTGCTAATGTGCCTCAGAAATCAGTGGAAGATGGTCAAAGTCTTTGGTACCCTGCTACCCACATGGTAGAGTCAGATGCAATTCCTGGCTGTTCTTTCTGCCTGGCCTAGCCCCGCTGCTGCAGCCATTTGGGGAGTGAAACATCAGATGCAAGATTTCACTCTTGCTCTGTCACTCTGTCTTTCAAATAAATTTTAGAATCTTACAAAAATAAAGTCCTTGTCTACTAGATAAATATGGAAGTATTTACACGCAATGATACATAGGATCTCTGATATTTACTTTGAAATGCTAAGGCAAAAAAAGCTGGGAGAAAGATAAGAAATAGGACTGCAAGTGGTAAAAACTACTGGATCTGGTTGATGGGAATGTGACAGCTTATTCTATTCTTCTCACTTTTGTGTATGTTTGTACTATTTTGTAATAAAGGAGGAGAATGACTGTCCCAGAAAGTTACATGATGCTGTCGGGATTTTTCTTGCTTCTTAAAAACAGCCATGCATACCTTTCTGCAATGAAGTCTGACTTGATTCATCTTGTGTACTGTTTTTCTGAGCATTCACTAGATCTGCAACCAGAATCTCAAGTGAATTATAGTTGCTCCCACACATCTGAACTTTTTCTTCCATTATTTTCTTAATGTCCTTGGAATTGAATCCCATTCGTATAGCTTCTTGTACCATAGGACTTTGGAAGATGGTATCATCTGGAATGAAAATTGGTGAGGAAAAAGAATATATACAATTTGTTTCATCAACACAACTTAAGAACAGAATACAGTTACAAAGAAAAAAAATTAACTAGTAAGCAAAAACACAAAAACAAGCCAGCAAACCAAAGCTGTTTTGGGAAGAAAAAAAAAAAGTCAGCCATGAATGAGAATCTTACAATCAAAATGTTAAAATTAGTTAATAATACAATAAGACAGTTTCAGTTTAACCCAGTTTAAGCATAGTTTAAAGACTTATAAAACTGCAATGTAAGATAAAATAGGTAAGAAAAGGGTTAGGCTGCTTGAAAATCTGAACTTGTTTCCAAATCAGCCACAATCATTAACAACTAAGGCACTTTAAGAGGTGATACTGTTAGGCAGCTCCTAGAAATTACTTTGAAAAAAAAAAAAAAAGAGAGAGAGAAATTCCAATGACTTTGATCTTATTAGTTTCCTAGCTCTTAGACTTAGTTTATGTAGCTGTGGGGATTGGACCAGATAAGGCAAGAAAATAAATGGGAACTCATTTTTATTAGGCCCAAAGAACTATAGGATGGTGAATCTGACATATCTCCACCAAAGACATGCACAAGAATATTCATAGCAGCGTTATTAACAACAGCCCCAAACTGCAAACACCTCATATGTCTACCATCAAGTGAGTGGATACAAAAAATGTGGTATAGTCAAATACCACACAGCAAAAATAAACTACTGTCATGGACAACATGAGTGAGTCTCATAGCTATGATGAGCAAAATGTCATCATAATGATGAACTAGAGAAAGAAGAATGAATACATACTGTGAGACTGACTCCACATGTAAGAAATTCACAATCTATGGTAATATATGAAATGAGCCTATCTTAACAAAAGGTAGACTTGGGAATAGGTATTAACTGCAAAGTGCCTGAAAGAGTTTTCTAGAGTGGTAGGAATTCTCTAAATCCTGACCTGAGGAATGGTTATAGGGTGAGGTGTACATTTATGTTAAAATTCAGAGTTGAAAAACTAACATTTGTACACTTTAACTACTTTACTGGGGGCGGACATTGCAACACACTAGGTTAAGCTGCTGCTTTGGGATTCCCAAATCCCATATTGGAAGTAGCTTGTGATGGAATCCTGCCACCACTCGTATTCCTGCTCCCTGTTAATGTGCCTGGGAGACAGCAAGTTGGCGCACATTGGTGCAAGTGCTTAGGTTCCTGCCAACTATGTTGGAAACTCAGAGTTCCTGGGTATTAGCTTTGGTCTGACTAGCTGCAGCAGTCATGGGTACTTGAGGCGGAAATAGCAGATGAAAGATCTTTGTCTCTCCCCCTCTGTCACTCTATCTTTCAAATAATTTTTTTTAATTAAGTACTCCATTTTATGTATAATACACATTGATATGCTTTCTGAAAGAGGAGACTAGGGTGGGTAGAGTGGCACTGCAAGTTAAGCTGCTGCTTGGGGATGCTGACATCTCATACTGGAATGCCTGGAATTGAGTCCTGGCTTTACTTTCAATTCAGCTCTATGTTAAAGAACCTGGGAGGCAACCAATGACAGCCTGAACACTTGGGTTCCTCCCAAATATGTAGAGCGGCAGAATGTCATTCCCAGTTCATGGCTTAAGCCTGAACCAGTCCAGGCTGTTTGTACGCATTTGGAGAGTGAAGCAATGGGTGACAATTTCTCTTTCTCCTCCTCTGCCTTTCAAATGAATGTTAAGACAGGAGGCTTTGGGACATGTGCATGGCACGGAAGTTAAGACAGTTGATTAAACAAATTCACAGTCCAAAGGAGATTGCCTGGGCCTGAGAGCTGGTTCCACTTTTGATTATAGATTCCTATAAACACACATGCTGCCCAGGCAAGAGACTCAGATTAAGATAAGGTTCCTGGTTGCATTGTGACCCAGCACAGGTTTCTGTGGGTATGTGGGTCAATGAATCAGTAGATGGAAGATTCTTTTTCTTTGCATAAAAAGAAGGTTGGATGGGGCTGGCACTGTGACACAATGGGTTTAGCTGCTCTCTGCAATGTCAGCATCCCATATCAGTGCCAATTCAATTACTCCAGAGTGCTCCACTTCTGATCCAACTCCACACTAATGCATGCACTAAAGCAGTGGAAGATGGCCCAAATGCTTGGGCCCCTGTACCCATTTGTGAGATTCGGATGAAGCCCTTAGCTCCTGGCTTTGGTATGGCTCAGCCTTGGTTGTTGCTGCCATTTAGATCTCTGTCTCTATCGTTCTCTTTCTCTATAACTCTGACTTTCAAATAAATAAATTGTAACACTAAAAAAAAGGAGGCTGGAAAGGGAGAGATGCAGGGATTTGACTGTAACAAACATAACATGCAAGGTAGGAAAGATTTTTTAAGGTAATAAAGCAACTTAAGAAGATTTGTATTTGATAAAGAAAACTCAGTTGGGAGGTCATATAATGCAGAGACAAAAAAATCTATCAGTACACTATTACAACAGTCCAGATTACAAATAAGGGCTGAACTACAAGAGAATCAGTGAGGAGAGGAGATGGGTTTCAGAGAATATTAATAAGGTGGAATCTATCAGACTTGGTGATTAATTAAATTTGGAAGGATTAAGGACAGTAAAGAATTTAGAATAACTCAAATTACTGGACAACCCTATGAACTATGGTACTATTAACCAATACAGAGAAAAAAATGTGGACTGAATTCAGTCTAAGCAGCTGTTAAATTTTATTTATTTCAGAGGCACAGCGAAAGTTCCCAACTGCTATTTCATTCTCTAACTGCCTGCAATGGCCACGGTTGAGGCCAAAGCCGACCGCCAGGAACTGAAACCAAGTCTCTCATGTGGGTAGCAAGAAGCCAGTTACTGGAGAGCCCACTGCTGACTCCCAGGGCTGCAGTAACAGGAAGCTGAAGTCAGGAGCCAGAATTGGGTATCAAACCTTGGTACCACAAACATGGGATGTCCGTGCTTCTCCCTCTCACTTGACGTTTTGCAAGCTTGTTTTGCTGGCTCCTTTACTTCCAGTCACCTGATCAGATATTAGTGGCTCCCCTCCATTCCCTTATGGATCTTTCTTTTCTTTTTAAATAATTTCTCCAGGCACTTCCCTCACCATCACCATTTTACTTCTCATTTATATGAATTCAAGATTTTATTATCGGGGCAGGTGTGATAGTTCAAATGGGTAATCCATCCCCTGCAAGCACCAGAATACCTTAAGGGCAGGGGTTCATATAGTGGCTCATCCACTTCTAAACACCCAGCTCCCTGGTCGCGGACTGATATAGCAGAGGATGGCACAAGGCTTTAAGGTCCTGCACCAGTGTGGGAGACCCTGAGGGGGCTTCTGGCTCCTGGCTTTGGACTGATTCGTTTCCAGCCATTGCAATCATCTGGAAAGTAAACCGGCACATGGAAGAACTGTCCTTCTTTCTGCAAATCTTCTTTTCCAATAAAAATGAATAAATCTTTCAAAAAATACCGTATTATTTTTCTAGTTGGATTTCCCACAGGTATCTCAAATGGAAATTCCTAAAAACGCAAGGCTAGGACAACTGGATATCTACATGAAAAAGAATGAAATTGATCCCTCTCACCCCATGATGTGGAAAAATAAACGTTAACTAAAAATGATCAAAGATCTAAAGGGAACTGCTCTTAGAAGAAAATATAGATATAAATATTTGTGACCCAGGATTAGGCAATGGTTTCTTAAATATAACGCCAAATGTATAGCAAAAAAGGAATAAATAAAATTGGACACAAAAAATAGCACCTGTGGCCCGATGTCATGGTGCAGTGGGTTAAGCCATCACCTCTAGCACTCTATGCCACATGAGCGCACATTCACGTCCAGGCTGTTCCACTTACACATTGTTAATGAGCCTGGAAAAGCAGCAGCAGATGAGGCAAGTATTTGGGGCCTTACTACCAACATGGGTGATCTGGAAGAAGTTCCTGCTTCCTGGCTTTGGCCTGGCCCAGTCTTGGCTGTTGCAGCTATTTGAGAGTGAGCCAGAAGACAGAAGTTTTTTCTGTATGTCTCTCCCTCTCTAATTCTGCCTTTCAAATAAACAAATCTTAAAAAAAAAAAAGTAAAAAGACAGACAATCCAGAGACTGGGAGAAAATATTTGCAAATCATATCTCTGACAAGGGCAATTAAAGAGCTCTTGCAGCTCAATAAAGACAATCTAACTATAAAACGATCAAAGGAGATAAATACATATTTCTCTAAAGATTTACAAGTTGTTAGTAAGCACATGTAAAGATGTTCAGCATTAGCCATTAGGGAAACATAAAACAAAACCAAAATTAGATATCATGTCATACCCATTAGGCTAGCTGTAATAAAAAGTAAGGTTGGCATTTCACTTGGCAGGTTAAGATGTTAGCTGGGATGCCCACACTCCATACTAAAATACCTGAGTTCTCACGCCCTAGTTCTGATCCTTATTTGTTTATTAACACAAACCCTAGGAAGCAGCTGTTGGCTCAAGTTGTTAAGACCCTTTCAATTTGGAAACCTGGACTGAGTTCCCTGTTTTCAGGTTTGGCCTGGCTGAGCCTTAGCTGCTACAAACATTCAGGATTAACCAGTGGATGAAGTTCTCTATAACAAATTTTCAAACATTGCTTTTTCTTATTTAAATTTTTTAAAAATTTATTTGAAAGGCAAAATAACAGAGAGGAAGGAAGAAAGGAAAGAAGGAAGACAGAGACAGACAGACACACACAGAGATAGAGAGATCTTCCATCCACTGGTTCTCTCTCCAAATGGCTGTAGTGGCCAAGGCTGTACCAGGCTAAAGCCTGGAGTCAAGAACTTCGCCATGGTCTTGCACAGGGGTACAGGAGCTCAAGGACTTTGCCCATCTTCTACTGCTTTCCCAATCCATAAGCAGGGAGCTGGATTGGAAGTGGAACAGCCAGAACACGAACCAGCACCCATATAAGATGGTAGCACTGGTGACACCCGCCATGCCATAAGGCTGATACCTAAACAATTTTTAAAAGATAGGTAAGTTTTGGCAAGGACACTGAGAAATTGGAATCCTCATAAACTAGTGCTGTAAATGTCAAAGGCTTTAGTTCTGCTGGAAAATTGTGTGGCAGTTCAAGGTTAAACATAGAGTTAATGTGTAACCCACTAACTCCATTCTTAGATATAAGCACCCAAGACAATTAAGAACATATCTATACAAAAACTGTCAATAATCATAGAAGTAGCATTCTTAATATTCAAAAAGTGGAAGCAAATCTGGTAATCAACCAACAAATGGATAACCAAAATGCGGTATTGTCATACAATGGAACATATGTGCTACCCCATAGATAAATCCTGAAGCCTGATTCTATTTAAGTGTCCAGAATAGGCAAATCGTTAGACACAATAGTAGTTGCCTGGGTCTAGAGGCAGGGGTAGTATGGAGAAAGACTGCTATTGTGTAGATTATGGGGCTATTTTCGAGTAATGGCAATGTTATACAACTAAAAAAGTGATGGTTGCACAATCTCATTTTTTTACTAGATAGAACTGAATTATACACTGTATACAGGTGAAATTTATGTGAATTTTACCTGAACTTAATAACATTAATTGTAAACCAGAACAAGTCACATTAGTCAAGCATCATTAAATATCAAAAAAACATTGTTACAGAATCTTTGTTTTTGACTAATTTGGAAAGTATACATTAAATTCTATTTAAATGTATTGTTTATGCCTGTTATACGATCCATACTGAAAAATAAGGTAGCTCTTTTCTAGTACATTTTTGAGTAGATATGCTCTTGCCTTGTAATCCTCAAGGTCCTAAACAGACAATTCTACAAGCACAGAAGTAGACAATCAACCAACTTATTTTAAGTCAAACTTTCTATTATTCTTGAAATATGACATCTACGTTGAAAATAAGAGCTGCTGTGTACTGTATGAACCAGAAGACCTTGTTCACTGCTTCCATTAATCTGCAATGTGACTAAGAACAGGTCTCTTAATCTTTCTGAGTCTCAGGTTCTTCACTGTGAGAACAACAGTTTGACATAATATCCTTTTCTGACTGCTTTCTGGTTTTAAAAATGTCCATGATGAGTAGACAATCTTTGTCATAAAACCTCTACCTAGGGGGTAGATTTTTAGCCTAGTAGTCAAGATGTCCATGCCCCGTATCCAAGTGCGTTGCTTAGATTCCTGACTCCAGCTACAGATTCTGGCCTCCTATTAAGGCAGACTGGGAGGTATCAGGAGGTGGATCATGTAGTTGGGTACTTGTTAGCCATATGGGAGATACGGGTTGATCTCCAAGCTCCTAGCTCTGGGCCTGGCTGTTAAAAGAGACTAGAAGAGTGAAGCTGCAAATGTGAGCTTGGTCTCTTTGCTTCTTAAACAGAAACAAATAAAAATTTTCACCTCTTTTAATATGTAGGAGCTAAGCAAATACAATCTCACTCCTCTGTGAAGCAGCAGGATGGCAAAAAGCAAAGCAAAAAGATGGCATGAGATAAAGAAGCAGGTGGCTTAAGGTTGTTCCTGGTGATGTAAGCAGAACACTGGTTTATGATCTTCGCTCACTTAAGCTCCAGGGACAAAAATACTTACCCTTTCTCTTGTAATTTTTAAGTGAAATAGTGATGGGACAGTTCCTACAGATGGAACCTCCTATAGATGGAAAAACCATGCAATGGCTATATTACCATTCTTTCTTCCTAAGATTTTATTTATTTATTTGAAAGACAAACAGTAGAGAAAGGGAGACACACACAAGAGAGATCTTCCATCCACTGGATGAAAAGCACAGAGTAACTGGGACTCATACAGCACTCTAAAACGCAATGTAAGCATCTTAAGTGGCAACTTATCTACTGTGCTACAATGCCTGCCAGCACATTAATGTTCATAACACAGAAAGATGACTTAAATATAAGAACACTTCAATAAATTCTTAGATTTTTAGCAATCTCAAGTACATATGCTATGGTGACTGAAAGAATATGCTTATTTTTACATTCCATAAATAACTATATAAAAAAGAAAAAGGCAAAATAAATTGGTAGTGACATAAAAAATGCATTTAGTTTAATAAGTATATTTACCAATTCTTTTAGTTAGTGATGGTGCACTTTCTGCAGTTGTTGCCTAAAATAAAAACATGAATTCTAAGTTAGAATTTTTTTGGTAGAAGGCAACTGATTCAATCTGAAAATGTAATGGTTAAGTTGAAATAAATTGGTTTTATTCTAATTAAAAATATGAATATTTATAAGAGGCACAGGTTGATGATGGAACTACAAAGATGTTCAACGACCACCTAACCCAAACCCTTTTCACCTTATAAACAAGAAACTGAAGCCCATGGACTTAACTAACTTTATGAGGCAATACAGCCATGGTAGCTCCTCAGGGGAGCCCAGTTCTCCCAATGTAGCTCACAGTTCTTTTCACATACTTGTTGATCCACTGGCCACCCCAGTTCCTCCTACAAACTTTAGATTTTGGGGATTAAAATACTGTTTGAAAAAAGGTTAAAACTACTTATGAGCACCAGACCTCATTATATAAAATCTAATTTCACAAATATGCTTTAGATTAAGAAGTACAAATTCTCCCTTTTAAATCCCAATGACAATATTAATTTACAATATTATATTATGAATATTACATGAAGGAATAATTATAAAAAATAAATGACATATCTAGAAATATGTATTATACCAGACTTACCTGGGACTCCTCAAGTGAATGAGTTAAATGAATATTGTTTACAAATTCTTGTCCTTTCTCTTCTAACAAATATTTACACCTAAAGAATGAAACAAGGTTGCTGATAAATCAGTAAAGTCTACATAAAGATAAAATACCCATAATATTCATTCCATTAACTTGATTTTCACTATTTCTAAAGATTCATTTATTTATTTTTAATTTGAAAGGCAGATGTACAGAGAGGAGAGAGACACACAGAAAGAGAGATCAACCCATCTACCATCTACTGGCTCACTCCCTAAATGGCTGCAATGGCTGGAGCTGAGCAGCTCTGACTCCAGGAAATTCTTCTGGGTCTCCCAGGTGGATGAAGGAACACAAGGAGCTGGACCACCCACCAATGCCCTCCTAGGCCAACAGTGGGTAGCTGGATTGGAAGAGGAGCATCTGGGAACTGAACCAACACCTATATGGGATGCTGCCACTTACCGGCAGAGGATTAGCCTACTGAGCCACCACACCAACCTGGTTTTCATTATTTTTAAGGCATCACCAAATTAAACATTATCCAATTTTCTATCAACTCTCCTTTCAAGGGGGAAAAAGCTCCTTTTCTATATTAATTATGTTAGTTGAGTAAAAAAAATAAACCTTAATAAATTTCAACTTTTAAAGAAGACAAAAAAAAAAAGGAACAACTTTATCTTGAAATCAATGAGATCCTAGGGGTGACAGTCTCTTAAGGAATCTTCCTAGCAACATAGGCTCTTGCACAGAGGATAACAGCTGACTTCCAACAAAAAAAAAAAACGTGCATTCCCTAATATGTTGCTTAGCACTAGAAGAATCTGAATGTCATAAATATGATACCTAAGGAACAAATGATTTAGTCACCTGGGGTAGGTGAATTTTTTTTTGCCCTATGAAAAGTAGGTGACCCCATTTTTATACACTTGGCTCAAATTCTGAGCTAAAATAAAAACAAGAATAGTTGAAGTGAGAGTAACTCAAGTCTGCCCAGCTCATACTGCCCATCTTGCCTGTTACTGAATGAATCTTACCCTGGGTACCACTTAGCATGCTGTTCCCAAGGGTCTTCATTGGGCTTCCAATCAGTTAGCCCTCCTCCACAGTGAAAACACTTTACTTTATCGCCTTCACCTAAGAAAACACACAAGGAAAAACATATTTGTGTAATGAGAACTTCATTCAAAATACCCATCTCAATACCTGAAAATTGATCACATCTATAATAGTACATGAAAAAAAAAATACCACTTAAAGGAAAGCACTCAAACTCTCACATCTTAGTAATAGATTCAACCTGGGGTATTTTACAGAACACAAACATAAAATTGCCCAATTTTTATGTTCAAAACTATAATTGCTACTTTCTTTTTAACGTGTATCATTTGGGCCATCAGTATTATACCTACTTTGTCAAATTGTGAAACTTCAAAATAAGTTATGTTCTAAGCATTAATGAAATTAGACACAAAGAAATTATTACACATTTGTCTATGGTACTATATAAATAAAATATTCTGAAATAACTGATACTTTGTTTTGGGGCACAATTCAATCATTAAATGCATGGGTCAGGTATAAAATGATATGATTTTTAAAAACTATCCCTGAAAACCATCACACTAATGGCCCTTCCCAATACTTCTCTACAGCAGTCGACCTGAAAATCACTCATTTAAAACAATAAGGCATGATACAGAGCAGCTTCCAATTATGAACACTATGTACTAAAGGTAGAGACTGTCAATTATACTATAGGCCAAACAAAAGTCTCTAGTGTTGATTCTTTTTATACTATTGTTGTGAGGTTCAGGGGAAAATGCATGTAATATGTATACACAGGGAGAGAAAGAGCACATGTATGTAGTAGGTGCTCAATAAATAATTGGCAGTTCAGACCCACAAGGATTTCTAGTGTCTTCTGCACATCAGTCATCCCTCTCGTAAAGACAATTACAAAGTAAACAAGACTTATAATAATATAGTGGCCTTTTTCACATATTCATTAGTACAACAACAGACTCCATATGAGTTTACTAAATAATACTGATTTAAATAGTAATACCAGCTTATAACTAACTATCCACCAGTTCAGGGAACAACAACCATATATTCCTTTTAAGAAGCCCTGGGATACTAGGAAAGTTATTTATTGGGTTTATAATAAAGTTTACCTAAAGCAAAAAATCCAGCTCTTGCAAGCTGCTCCTTGTTAACTGAGTATATCCACGTCCCAAAAGATATGATCCGTGCTTCATAATCTGCCATGGCTGGAATTCTTGGAAGATTTGTTGAATTTGAAAAATTCCTATCAGAACTCACAACATCAGATTCACTTCGACTATTAATATTTCGGCCCAAAACAAAGAAGCAATTAGGAAAGTGTCGCCTATGTTCCGACCAGGCACGATCACAAGGCTCCCAATTTTTCAGTTTTCCACCACAACAAAAGCACTGCACTTGATCATCAATACCCGTGTAGTAGAGCCCAGCACTAGCTAATTCTCTTGGGGTTAAGTGGGCATAATCTGGCCAGTTCTGAAATGACTTTAATCTAGCTTCTTCACTACACATGGCAGGGTTCTTTGGGTATATGGTGTCTGATTTATCTACGACCTGTCCCGTTCGCAAAAGATACTCTGCGTGCGTCTCAGAAGATCTGTCTAGAGCAAAATGATTTCTGCTTCCCAGGTAGTTTTCAACTTTGTATTGACCATTTTGGACACCAGGATTTGTAGGTTGTGCCGCACTATTTTCAAAATAAAAGCCGTTGATAAATCTGCAATTTGGAGATACTTTTCTGTGTCTTCCAATTGCTGAGTCTCCATATTGCCATCTATCTACTGCTGCATGACAACTAAAGCATTGCACAGTGTCTCCTTCACCAGTATAAAGAAAACCTGCTCGGGCCAGAGTTGACGCTGAAACAGGACTACTACTTGGAAAATTAGTAAAAGTTTTTAATCTATTAAACTCTTCTACAAATTCTTCATCTTTATTGATGTCTGCAGGTACACAAGTTTTAGATCCTTCAAAATTGTTAAAAGTCATCTTCTCTTGAAAATAGGACTTGTCCACCTTTTCTAAAAAGAGAACATTACATTAGGAAATCCAAAATGTGAAACACAAGTAATACACTTTTGATATTAGAAACAAATTACCCACTGATGACATCAGAACAATGAATCAAACTCTAAGAAACATTCTAATTCTAAATACTACAACATTATATTACCATATAATTCAAGTTACCAAAGTAAAATCTGGCATTTGTTTTCTCTTTTTGAGGAAAGTAGACAGAACAGAACTACAAGAGCTTATTTTCCACAGATATAAACTACATGATGTCAATTATACTATTAGCTAGATAATTTCATTAATTAGGAAAGACATGAAAGTATAAAATATGCAGATTCTTAAAGTCTATGCATAACTGTCACAATGATATTTTCAAGCTATCAAGGGTCAGCTTACAAACGTTCAGAATGTTCATGTATTAATTTCTATATGCCTTCGCTTTGTTGCTCAGCAAAAAAATGATATTACTGGTTTTTACATATTCTGAAAGGGCATCCAATGTTTGACTTTCAAATTAAACAAAGGATACATTTTTTTTTTTTGTAAAAACTTATTCTAGAGCACTTCAAAAAGTTCATGGAAAAAGAGGAATTGAAAATAAGTTAGTGTGGTTAATTGGCTTAGGAGGGAAAGCCACCAGTTAAGATGCCACATCCTACACCGGAATGCCCAGCTTTGTGCCCCAGTTCCAACTCCTGGTTCTAAGCTGCCCGCTAGTGCAGACCCTGGAAGGCTGCAGGTCACACCTCAAGCAGCTGGCTCTCTAACCCTCATTTGGGAGACTCGGATTCCGATTCTGGTTTCAGACCCCTCAGCCTACTTTCTTTCTCTACCTTTCCAATAATTAGGCAAATAATTTAAATGGTAAGTTTACTTTAGTGTTATATATATATATAATATATATAATAATATACATTTATTATTATATAATATATTATAATATATTATATATAATTATAATCTATAATATATTATATATATATACCCACGTATAGTTTAGAACACACATTTTTTCCGTTAACTTTTTAAAGACCCCATGTTTGAGTATATGGTGTGTGACTTGAGAAAAAAATCCCAAACATCTGCACATCTTATTTACAGAGTGTTTTGCTATCAATTTTCCTTGGTCAAAAAACAGTCTGTTCAAATGGGACAGAAGTCTTATTAGAGCTTCCAAATTACTTAGACAAAATATGAAAGGAACTGGTCCAGCTATGAAAAGGGTGGCAAGACAATTTATCTCCCAAATTAGACACATTTCAAAGTAAAAACAATGCTGCTAATCCTGCACAAATAGAGCTGCTCCAGGTAAAACAATATTATAGTCACGTTAGCCAGAGGGAAAGCCTGGCTTGCCAGAACCTTCCACAGAATTATCTGATAACTGTGATCAATCTATAAGGGCCAAATGCAAATTAAAAGAATATTAACAACTATAATTCATATGTACAACAATTTCTTGGGACAAGTTATCTAAGTCTTTTTACACTGTGTTGGCACAATATGTCTTAGAATACGACTTTTAACACAAGATTTCTCTCATTCAAGCTGGTGATGGACTTCAGTCTTTCCTAGCCTTGTCAATCCACAATGGTACTAATTCATATACACTTTAAGAGCTGAGTTCTATAACCTTTAGAATACAATCTTCATGACTGATGCAATTATCATCTTCCAGATTTCTGAAAACAATGTTAGTTTTAACACTCCTTGTTCAGCCAGCATAATAAGGTGCATGCAAAAATCAAGCTTCAAAGACACAAAGGCTGGTTAGATAAGTTACGATAAAATTTAATAGAGATAAGTGTAAAGTCGTACATTCTGGCTTCTAAAAATCAGTTGCACAACTAAAGGAAGACGGAGACTGGGTCTTGAAAGAAACCATGTCAAAGCAAACTTTACAACGTGAAGATTTTAATCACAAATTCTTTATGCTGCTAAAAAATTTGAACAACTTCAGGCTGCATTACAGTCCAGATGTGCAATATCCACCTTCAATTCAGCTACCTAGTGAATATTATTTCCAGTTACAAACACATTTGAGAAAGGACAGTAACAGTTTAATGTCCTTAGCAAATAAGATGATGAGAACTATAGCATTTGAGGAATAGTTGGGAGGAGTGAGACTGTCCTGAATGGAAAAAAATGTGAGGGAAATGGTAGACAAGATACCTTGTTAACTTTACCACTGTCATGTATTAAAAGGGGGAGGGGACCCAAATTCTGTGTGTCTGGGGGCAGAATTAGGATAAATGATTGCATATAACCAGATCTTAGCTCTATAGAAGGACGAACTTTACAAAAATCTATAGCCATACAAAAGTTGTCCTGTAGGCTTTCTCCTACCTCAAAGAAGGATCTAGATTAAACATTCCAAATCTATAATTATGTAAGATAATTAATGCTCAACACAAAATTATCATCTCAAAGGTGACAGGATTTATTTCTCAGGTCAATCAAAACAAGGAGTATAAAATCATATTTATTCTCACTCCACAATGATGGACATTCTGTGATGTGTAAGTAGTCATTCCATTGCAGATAATACCATTAGAAGAATCCATCACCCAACACAAGCATGAGCAACTATTTGAAGCGTTCAAGAACTTTATCTGATGGTTTATATTTCACTGTTTTGAAAAGCAGATTTTATTCAAAAGTGTTTAACTGAACACTACACATACATTATCAGAATGTGAGTTTTTGGAAAAGGGAAAGAAAACAATTATGATCAAAACTAAGAGTAAAAAAAAAAAAGCCTTAGAGTAAGAAGGAAGAAAGATTACTGACAAATGATAGAAACCCTAGTGTTAGAGGGAGGCACCAGAAGGGATGTTAAGGGTAGAAAAAACTGGGATATAGAGGAAATGAAAGTAGGGAAAATGATACTATGGAAAATATATATGAAAAATAGGAATTGTGGACACAGATGAAAGTGAGGCAGGGATACTGGGGAAGAGTGATAAAAAAGGCTTCAGATGCAGAAAGGTCTGAGCACAATCAAGTATTCTGAGATCATACAGGGCTTCTCTATGAGAGCTTATTCAGGCTTTCTACTGGTTAAGCAGAGGTACGAAAGCAGAGAGAAAGACATCAAAGACAGACGTGGGATGGGAGAACTAGTCGGGTAGGAATAAGAAATATAGCATTACAGAAACCTACAATGGCACAAAAACTGCTAGCAAGCAATGGTGCATGTTTCTATGAGGAATTTGAAAGATTTTCAGACGCTGATATGAAAAGTTAATATATACATGCACATACAAAAGTTTCTATTTCTTTCAGCAATTTACTATCAAAGTTCCTTTTTGAAAGATTTCTTTACTTGAAAATCAGAAGAAAAAAAGAGATCTTCCAGCCACTGGTTCTCTCCTGTAATTGGCTACAGTAGCTGGACCGGACCAGGCTAATCACCCACATGAATGGCAAGAGGTCCAAGTTCTGGAGTGACCAGCTTCTGCTGCCTTTCAAGTGCATTAGCTGGAAGCTAGTACTCCAATAGAGGATGCAACTTGCCCCCTATTGAGATTTTCAAATGTGTAGAAAAAGGATTATTTGAATGGGGGAGAAGATACAAAACAAGGATTACACTAAACTGCCACTGCTCAAAAGCACATGGAATTACATGGAAGGTAATATTTAACTGGAAAAATATGTTAAGATTACAAGTGATGTTTTTCTCCCAAATAGATTTAATAATATTGTCACCCCAAATCAGGCAGATACCACTTGCTTGGGTCATAGGTCACACAGAGTGCCAGCAGACAGCAAACTGGTAAACACTGCCCCGTCTTTTCCTCTTCCTGTCACCAAGGCTCAAAAGGAGGGAGCTGCATTGTGACTTAGGGTTCTGCATGCCTGCTGCTCTGGAGGAATGCCACAGTTGAGCTCAGCTCCCAGACCTAAGCTGCCTTTGTGGTTGCGTGTGGCTTACAATCTGGCAGCACACATGTGTGAACACCTCCCCCCCCACACACATAGTATTTACACACACTCTTGAGGGACAGCTCCCAATCAGTGCGATGGGTAGTACTAGACATGGAGCTACCAGGCTGTCCTGTAGGTGAAAAGCAGGTCTAATGAAAAATTTCATCAGCCAGAAAGAGCAAAACTCAAAATTTAAGGGGTTCTATGGATTGCTGTATATCAACATTGCAGACACCCAGGGATATTTATAATCTATAAATCATGATAATTATCAGAAGGCTATTTTAATAGCCCACTATTTAAAATTTTTATGCAAAAGAAGAAACAAACAAGTACCTTTGGTACAAGATTGCAAAGAAGATGTTTAACTGGCATGCTGTTTTCTGTCAAATATTAACACACTGTGACCTTCGGGCCCAGCTCTATGGAGTAACCAGTAAAGCTGCTGCCTGCAATGCCAGTATCCAATACTGGCTCCAGTTCAAGTCCTGGCTGCTCCACTTCTAGTCCAGCTCTCTGCTTATGTGCCAGGGAAAGCAGCAGAGGATGGTTCAAATGCTTGAGTGCCCACACACATAGAAGGTCTAGAAGCCGCTGTTGGCTCCATGCTTTGAAATGGCCCAGCTTAGAACAAGGCAGCTAACTGCGGAGTGAATCAGAGGATGATAGATCACTGTCTCTCACTCTGATTCTCTCTCACTCTCAAATATTATCTTTTTCAATAAGGGCTAATATACAGCCCCTGATACACTCCATGACTCTGGCTCTGTCTACCATAGATGTGGTTGTACTCCCCAGACTCCTACTCACTGCAGGTTCACCTCTACAGACAGCATTAAACATTCCCTAGGACTTGCATCTGGAATAGCTGCAGCCCAAGGGAAATGTCGTAAAGCTTAGACAAAGTGCCAAGGATCTCTATAACCTGGCTTGTTCTGGGAGGGCTGGTTCATAGCACAAGACTATCCACTTGTAGAGTTACAGAACTGTTGATGACAAAGTTTTAGAAATGAACTGTATACAAGTTTCAGGGAAGCATCCTGATCAAGTAGCAACTATGAAAACTGCAACCTCAGGT